ATTTTAATTGTATTTTAATCATTTTATTGTATTGAATTTTAATTATTGTAAGCCACCCAGAGACCTCTGGGTAGAGTGGGCAGCATATAAATTAAATAAATAAAATAAATAAATAAATACGGGTTTTCCAGGTATGTGAGATGATCGAGGAGCAGTTTCCCAGTGCCATCCCCTAGTGAGGTTCCTAAACAGAGCAGGGTTTGGAACCCTGGGCTTCTGAGTCCTAGTCTGACACTGTATCCACCACACTACATTGGGTCATGAGAGAAACTGGCACAGTATATCAGTGGCTGGAGAACGCGGGGAACATGGTATAGACTGCATTAACGTCTTACTAGTAGGCTTCTTATAGGCAACTCATTGGCCACAGTGTGAGGGTACCTTGAATAGGCTTACCATAATTCTTATGTACATATCCCTCCAATACGTATGGAAAAATGGCTTTCATTCAGACCGGTTGGTGGCAACGATAAGCAGTGGCAACAGAAGGCAAAGCTAGCCCAGGCAAGTCCCTCCAGGCAGTCATTTAATTGTTTTCCATGATCAACCATTCACATGGAGCAGTTATACGTGACGTACGCCCGATCGCCACCGAAGTCACCAGAATTGGAGTCGAAGAGGGGGGGATAAGCTTCTGCACCCCTGCGGTGATCGTAGAAGGGTTTCAATCCAAGGATAAATTGATATCTTATCTCTTAGCCCATGCTCATGGCCACCGGTTGCATGTACCAATGAAAGAATACCAAAGCAAGAAGCTGATGGTTTATATTTTCTGTCTGCCCAGGTTATACTCAGCCGCCTCCTCTTGAAGATACTATTGCATGCCGAAGTCTTGCTGGCTTCTGCAAAGCTGGAGCATGCCCCCCAACTCATGTCGTGTCCGGTACTTGCCATGGAGGGTTACTGAACTGCTGCAGAAAGTGAGTAGTCTATTTTGAACTAGTTCCATCCAAATCTTGGCTTTCTTCCATCTTAATTTTTCTGTGAGTCAACATCCCATGCTGGAATTTGCTTTCTCTTCTCTTCGTGGTGCACATCTTGCTTGAGAAACTGATCTACAGAGTTGCAGTTTTAGCTGACTGCTGTTATTCAGCAACTCCATCAATACACTCGTGGGATTGTAGTACCTGATACGAATGGCTTGCAGGTGTGGTTGTGGTTATATGCCATCAAATCACCTTCAACTTAGGGTGACCCTGTAAATGAGTGATCTCTAAAATGTCCTGTCCTCAACTGTGCCGCTCAACTCTTGCAAACTCAGGCAGGTGGCTTCCTTTAGAGAGTGAATTCATCTAATATTGGGTCTTCCTCTTTTCCTGCCACCTTCCACCTTCCCCAGCATGATGGTCTTTTCTAGAGAACCCTGTCTAGGACCCTCAGGCCCCAAATAGGACAGTCTCAAGTTTCAATATTTCTGCCTCCAGAGATAGTTCAGGCTTGATTGAATCTAGGACCCACTTGTTCATCTTTACTGGCAGTGCAGGGCATCCACAAAGCTCTCCTCCAGCACCAGATTTCAAACAAGTCAATGCATGTGTGGAAAAACAAGTAAATCTCACAGCCTCTCACCCTTGGTGAGAAACTAAGGGGAGGAAATGCTTTGTCTCCTCACTGCAAGATCCATGCAGCTATGAGGTTTTCAGTGCAGAGGTTGAATCACTTCAACTTCATCAGTGTGGCCGGTGACTCCAGTTTAGCCTGCTTCTTACAGAAGCTGTTCAAGGTGTTGAACCTATTTGGGGCGCAAGGTGTCAGTACCTAAGTACCTTAGATAGCACTTGTAAAGTCTGAATTAAAAGCCACAGAGGAATCACAGCATTCCCCCCACCCAAAAAAAAACCCCTTGGAGTTAATCATACTGAGTTACCATATTTCTTCCGTGTATAAGACTATACTTTTGTCTAAAATCTTTAGAATAAAAATTGAGGGTTGTCTTATACACAGAAGTAAGCTGAGGAGAGAACAAAAACAAGTGGAGGGGAAAGCAGGAATCAAAGCGATCCTGCAGCACTTTGATCCCTTTCCCCCTACACTTGCTAAGTCCCACTTAGATTTCTTAATTTTGGATTAGAAAAGTGGAAGGCATCTTATACATGGGGGCGTCTTATACTCTGAAAAATACGGTACTTAAGTGCCAAACTGGGACTGCTACCCTTTTTCTTTGGTGGGGTGCTTCTTCCCTGTGCTGTATGTATAGGACGTAGATACATCACGGTCCTTTGTCAGCTTGAAAAAACCATACGTCCTCAATCTGGTTACAGGAAAGGAGAGGAATTTCATCTCCATCTTTTTTGTTTTGCAATGTTTTGGATTGCTGACACGTTTGTCACAATTTACAGGCTTTCTGTTTGAACTGGGAAAAAAACTTGAGGGTTTGTTTGTTTTTTTTTAAATCTCAAGCCCAGTAAAACTTTAGGAACCACTGGCTTTCATGAGTGATTGTTCTTGAAATGAAATTTTAAAAATCCAATGAGTTTCAGCTTAGCCTTTTCAGGCTTTTGAATTCGAAAGAAGTTGGAGTTAGATCTAAGAAACAAACAACAACAAAAAAAGCCTTTCTAAACCAAAGTGAAATATTCACGCCTTTGAAGAAAACTGAAAGGGCTAAGCCAAAATGTGTTGGGCTTTTACTTTCTGGAATAAAGTGCAGACTATCTTTTTTACATCCTGGAATTATAATCTTTTCTTACCTAACTGCTTTGGTGGGCGTACTAGTTCCCTTTCCTTATTAACAAGTTATGAAACATGAAGAGAAGCCAAGATAGAAATCCTGTGCACCCTTATCCCATTGGACTTGGTAAGAGCTGTTCAGCAGTGGAAGGTGTTGAGATAAAAGGATGGAAGAATGCTTTAGCTTTTTTTCAACTGAGTAACCTTTGGCAACTCTTCCCGACTCTATAATTCTGCAATTCTACAATTCTGCGGTTCTCTTAGGCTTCTCTCAGACTCATTCAGACAATGGCATTTATTTTCTCCAGGCCTTATGTCATGATTGCCATACCGTCAGGCTGAAGAACATCAATATGCGGTTGCAACAGCTGCTTTTCAGGCTATGCTCCAATGCACTAACATTTGCATTTTGATTCTTTATAGGGATATCTTTTCATGAAGTCCTCATCACTCCACTCCAACCTCCACTGGTCCTATCTGAGAAGCACATCTACTACAAACGTTTGCTGTTCACCACTGAAAAGATACTTCCTATGAATCCATCATACTATGATCACTCCACTTTTCTGTCTGTGTTCTGCTACTAAAGCAGAAGCCAAAATGAGATCATGCATGCAGCCCCTTCTTAACACAAAGGTTTCATTGTTCATATCAGCTAAGTTCTGTTTATACACCTCTCTTTCAATAGCACCATGAAGGGCCAGGTCTTGTGCTGTTTTGTTCTTCAGATTAAGCATAAAAATAAAGAATAGTTGACCATCACACCTCTCATCTCTCTCTCTCTCTCATTTTAAGCACTTCTCAAAACTGCCGTCACATGAACGGTGGAAAAGCTAACACAACTGTTTAGAAATCCTAAATTTGTGTGTGTGTGGGGGGAAATAACATGGTGAACTTCTTATGGCATAACCTACTCAGGTGATTATTGTTATACACCAAAGATCAGCAACTTCTAGAGGTCTACGGGTGGGGCACACATAACTATCCATGGACCTTGGCGGGCCAGTCTTCTTTCCATGACCTGTGCACAATTTTTTTCCCTTAATTTTCTTCTTCTTCAAAACTGGTAAACGTCTGCACCCTGTAGTGGCGAGAAATGATTTTACACGTTTTTTTTTAAGTGTTGCTGGAAGGTCCAGAGGTCCTCAAAAACTGCACTTCATGCCTCTTAGAAGGCACAAGAGAAATTCGAGGTTTGTTTTTGTTCAAAATAAAAATTTAAACGGTCAGGGGAGTAGTGTATGGGCTGGAAGGAAGAGCATGAGGCATGTATTGCAGAATTAATTCATTTTCTTTGCACCTGGACTCTGAAAAAATTATTGTTTCCACGGATTCTGAGCCATTCCAGCAACTTTCACTTATGAAGTAAACTTTTTTTTCCATTATCTGCCATTCACTGCAAGTTGGTTCAGTGTGATAATGGCAGGAGACATATCTACTCAGTTGATGTTCCACAGATGCATTTGGTTTTCATGACTCTGGTGGTAGATGTACATGGCAATCTCTCTATTCTCATCTGAACTCTGTCCATGCTCTGTCAGACAGAGTCCCTACTCCTGTCCTTTGAAGATGCCGGCCACAGAGACTGGCGAAACGTCAGGAAGAACAACCTTCAGAACACGGCCAAAGAGCCCGAAAAACCCACAACAACCATCAGATCCCAGCTGTAAAAGCCTTGGAGAATACATTCCCTGCAAGGATTAAGAACTTGTTAAGATATCTTCTTAGATATCTTAGATCAATTCCAGTAAAGAAGGGCTATAATATTAACTTTGTGACATGTTTCAAGGAGACTGTGGAAAAAAACACATTCATTTTAACAAAGAACTGCTGGATAATTCAGTGGTTTAGGCATCTGGTTGTGGAGGCAGAGGTTGGGAGTTTGATTCCCCCACTGGGCTGCCTTGATGGGGGCTGGACTGCATGACCCAGAGGGTCCCTTCCAGCTCCTGCAGTTCAAAAACCACTGTCAGCTGGCAGTAAATACTCGAGTATTATACTAAATACTACTCAAGCTACTCAAAGGCAGTGCGGGCTCAACAACAGCCTTTCTTGCAGGGCAATTTGTGTCAATCTGTTCTTCTATTGGGGTCTCTCTTTGATTTTCAATATAATGGAAACCCCCGTTTCTGCTGGATTGACTCCATCCACCCGTGGGGAGGGGAGTCTGAGGTACCGATCATTCCTGAGAATGAAATTGGGGGACTGCATGTCAGATTATTAGATACCAACTTGTCTTTAGTGCTTTCTGTAAAAAAAAAAATCACAACTAAAGTAGAGTAGGGAAGTAGAAATCGTAACATCATTAAAAGGGAAGCAGACTTAGTGAGGGCCAGAGTAAAAACATTTCTTCGGCGATGTAGTCACACCTTTGGTTACAGTTCTGCATCTGACCTTGCCCATGGATAGGCGGATATACCTTCACCTTCACAATTCCTCTCTCGTATTGCTTGAACCCTGACAGAAAATGGACAGAACTCCTAGACATTAACCAACTCTCCAATTCTAAATGGGTATTCTGTAATGATTTCATTCGATGAGTATTCGATTACTCTAAAGGAACGTGTAAGTGAGCATTTGCATTGCCCTTTCTCAATTGTAAGGTGACACAGACAATGAAGATTTGATGATGATGAAATGATTTATTTTAAAGCAAGGTAAAACAAATCACAGAGGCTGAAAGACATTCTGCACAGCATGTTTATGTTTTAATTACGAGTGATTATTATTGTGGGGGGGGGAAAGGAGCAGGTCATCCAGGAAGAATCCGCACTCAAGACATGGGACATCCTTCCAATTCCAGATTACGAGAGTTTTCATGTTTCTTGCGCCAGGGAAAGAATGATGAACAAGCCTCTGCCTCATTTGCTTTGTCTGTTAAAAGAAAGAGAAAAAAGGTACATTGTCTTATTCAGCTCCGGACAGGCTGAAAGGATACAGCATTTGAGCTGCAGGAACTCAACGGCTGAACATCAGAAGTGAGTCCTGGTTTCTGACCTGCAGCTGCGAAAGTTTAGAACATGAATGGTAGATCTCTCCCCATGACAACAAATCCTGTTGCTTAGTGTAGGCAATTGCATTAGAGTAAACTCATTGACTCAATGGGGATTTGGTGAGTCAAATGCTCTGGATTCAAATGGGCCGACTCTGCCTGGAAGTTGCTTTGCAAGTTCCATGGATTCAAATGGGCCGACTCTGCCTGGAAGAGGCTATGCTAAAGTGCATTGCAGTTCGGGCAGGCCCATTTGAATCAACGGGAACTTGCAGAGCAGTTTACTCCCCCACTCCCCTTTGATCTAATGGGCCTACTCCAGTGCAATTTAGTATAATACTCACCAGGTATTTAGCCACATTATTTGCATTTTTTTTGCAAGGCAGGTTGGAAGAATTATGCCAACCATCAAGAACAATTGTTTTAAGGTCAGCTACTGTATCCCTGGATGACTGGATCCTGCCTGTAATATATCAGCTCTGATCTGCATATACCCCAACCCAGACTAAGGGCTTATCTCCATTACTGATTAACCCCAGGATGTGCAGAGGATGTTTTTGGAGTGTATGAAGTCATGTGGTGGATGAATCACTGTCTGCAACTACTTGACAGTGGTAAAAAAGAATTTAGAATGAATTCACAATGAACTGGTGCATGGTACTTACTACTTCCTGCCCTCTTAAGAATAAGTTTTTATAGAGTATGTATGTTCTGGTCTTGCAGACCTAAAGATGTCACTGCTGCAACCATTCTGTCTCATGGCAGTGTCAACAGGAGATCTCAATTTGGCCTACTTTACCCAACAATCTTCCATGACCTGGAGGCTTATAGAGATTTGCCAGTCTCCCAGCTGAGATTATTTGTTCAGCTAGAGGCACACTCATTGTTAATTTCTTTACACTTGCTTACTGTGCACTTTGTAACTGGGAACTGGATGTGTGAGCCCTTTCTATGGAAAAGGAGAGCCGTTTCCATTTGATGTGCCAATCCCATCTCTGGTATTGCATTCAAAACCACGTCTCAGCCCCGGCTGCTATAGAATTCTACTGACGGATTACAGTAATTGAGGTTAACAAGGCACTTCAGTTATGTCTTTCCGATGTGTCAGTTTTACTCTCCTGCCATGTTATTTATTACTCTGAAAGATGCTGCGTCCTTTATCTTTAGATATCCCTGCAACGATTCTGTCTGCTTGAGCAATCATCTTTATTCATTTTGCTCAGAAGGAGACAGAAATGCCACTGGCCTGCCGGGCCTTTTCACCTAAAATATAAGCACCTACCTACCCAAGTTATGAAACTTCTGTATCCCATGCCACCACTTCCTACCTGCACGAAAGTGATTACAAGCCAATGCTGACACCATTTCAGCATTAAATTCTATGGCTCAGCAACCCAATATCATGACTTGTACACCGGCCACTCTTCCTTGCACTGCAAGGGAGAAGCGAAACACACCCTGTTCTCTCCATGCAGTTTCTCAGATTCTGTCTCTACCCACCGCTTCCTGTTAAGACAGCAAGAGAAGGGGAGGCTCCCATGTCTGGATCCCTTCAGAACTGCTCTCAGTTAAGCCAACAATACTGAGAAAATCAGGTAAAATCCAAAGAAACAAAACGAAGCACAACAACAGGAAACAGAAGACCAAACCATGTGGCACCTTAAAGACTAACCCAGAAGACAAAACCATGTGGCACTTTAAAGACTAACTATAATATTTCCCTGTAAGTTTTCGTGGTCACATCCACTTCATCTCCTTGTAAGTTTTCGTGGTCACATCCACTTCATCAGACATGTGGAAGCAGAATGAAAGGTTGCATGAAATCGCAGTTTCATATTCTAAAGGTAAATCTCACATCTATTCTAAATATCCATTGGTTACAGGCCTACGTTTGCTTCAAGGTCATGTTGTAAAAATTCCTCCAGGAGACAGAAAACAGACAACAGGTCTGAGCAAAGATGGGGGGGCGCAGGGAGAAAGAGAAGGGAGAGAAAGGATGGGGTGGGAGTTGCAGATGCAGATGAATCTCAAGATGGAAAAAAGAATATATAAAGTAAATATGAGAATAAAAGAATATAATCATGTGTGTTAATGAAGGAAATATTGGCAGTTTTACCTTTGAGCTGTGTGATAAGAGAATGTGATAAGAGACGTGAAGAAAATACTAGGTCTTGTCTTGTATTTGGCACCATCATGCCGATGTGGTGGATTGGTACTCATGTCCACATGGATTGGTCTTTCCTTTTGTTCACAAACTTCTACAGATTATCATGGCTTATCAAGTGCCATAGCCGGGAGTTTAGAAGCTCTTCGAATATTCACTTCATTTGTAAAGGGAAAACAGCCAGAGCTAGAATATTCTTCTGTCACCTATGAACTGCTCCATTGCATCTTTGAAAGGGGCAAGGCGGGGACAGCTGGCCGTCCCTGTCATAACGTTCCAGACAACACCCAGCTTAGATACTTTTTCTGGGTAACTATGGAACTTTAAATCACGGATTCGTGGCTTTGGTATATAAAAGAAACCTGGGAAGAATTTGTTTGAAGGTGGCATTGAATCTTTTCCTGAGGAAACAGCACTCTTCAAAGATTTGAAAGAATCAGAGGAGGGCAACGAGGATGCTCAGGGGACTGGAAACCAACCCCTGTGAAGAAAGACTGAAAGAACCAAGCGTAATTAGCCTTGAGAAAAGACGGCTGAGGGGAGATAGGATAGCAATTTTTGTCACACAGAGGATGGGCAGGGTCTGTTCTCAGTCACTCCAGAGCGCA